CAAATTGCCATCCCTAACCTTGGTGGTCTTTTCACTCCAAATCCGAAGTCCAACCCAATGGTGGATGAATGATCACTAGCTTGTCGGCCCATATATAAAGGCTGTCCGAAGAACTTGGTCGACCAGACCCATGCAAGTAGGCACCAGCCATTTATGGCCAATTGGCCATGGCTATGGTTGCCTGGAAAGGAAAGCAGTGGATTGAGTACAACATTGTCAGTAATCAGTGTTCAGAATTTACAAGCTCCAGACTCTGGAGTCTTCTCCTTCCAATAAGAGTATCGACGGTGACTATTGGCCTATCACAATCTCAAGCCACAATCTTACGGTTGTGGATTTTTGGTCACCATTGCATCATTATCCTGTTTTGACAGTTATACGCCAGAGATATGACTTAGGAGTTAGGAGAGCTCATAACCCACAAACGACAAAAAACTGGAGACATTTTCCTTGCTTAAAATCATTCAGCAAATCCTCATGAGTTAATGAAGTCCATTCGGATGATTCCCTCTAGATTTGTGTGGTTCATCCGTTTCCACGACATCGGAAATATCAATCCATATTCCATAACACGAACCCCTGATTCTGAATCAACATTTAAGTAAACCTTAATTAACCCGGTAAACCCTCCTGGGTATAACCTTCGAGTTGGCTTCAGAATGGGGTCTATGTCTAGAGTTCTCGTCAAAGATTGTAACTTGCATGCATATGATGCTATCCAAAGATCAAGCTCTCTGATTTCTGCGAGGAAGCTTCAATCAATTAATCTGGGTATGTGAAATTTGTGCGCGCGCGCGCGCGCTAATCATTTACTTTCACATAGGTTCTTGTTGTTTTGTCTTGTGTTTGTGATTTCGGGTTTTTTCGTTTGACTCTGTGTCCTTAGATTTTGGACTTGGTGTTGTTGCGCCCCAGAATGGGAAGAGTTTGGCAATCCAATGCAAGGCACGGGGTTCAGTTGTTGCTGTTACAGCGCCTTTCTCAATCATTCCAGCTTCAAGGTAGTTATTGACACCGAGTGCTTGGTTAGCGTTCTGATTTTAATTGAGTTATGGTAGCTAAGGAACTTGAGAAAGGATAAATCATCTTTCAGTGTTAGGAAGAATGCACTGCCATTTTGTATTTCCTAGCCGTGGAGAAGAGAGGCTGGTAAAATTTCAGATCTCAGTCCGGAAGTAGATGGGCTTATTTTTGTTTTGGAAACAGCATAACTGTCAAAACATTTGTCTTGTGTCTTCAAATCTTTCACTTATGTTTTGGGTTCTATTTGTAATGTTCAGTCCAGGTACTGGCTTGGCATTCTTCGCTTCTTATGCAACTCAGACATGAATTCCCCCCTTCCCCCTCCCCCTATGAGCCCCTTGTCCATCTAAAGTACTTGCATACAAGTGGTTGTTGATCTCACCATGACTATTTCATTAAGTTGTTGGTATTGGCATTCTTAGATTTGTTTGTCCACTGCATACAAGCCAATGTCTATGAAACTTACTTCCTTTCTTGCATTTCTGGTGTTGTGTACTAAAACAATATCATTTCTGGTATGGCACACTTGAAACAATGATTTCATTTCATGTGTGCAATGATATCATTTTATAGGAAGTCCCATCTTTTGTGCAAGGCTGCAACAAATGTAACTGGTGATGTTCCTGGTAGCACTCCAAGTGGGATGAGCCTGTATGAGAGAATAATTGAAACTTTGACCACTCTTTTCCCTGTGTGGGTATGTTTTCCATTTGTTAGTATGATAAAATTCTAGCCCCCCCGCCCCCCTCTTTTTTTTTTCTTTTTTTTTTGTAATTTCAGATTCTAATTTACTTTAACAAACAGGTTATTCTTGGAACCATCATTGGCATTTACAAGCCAGCTGCAGTAATTTTCTATCACCTTGTGTTTTTCTGATAAATGACTTGGAAATTTCTCTGAGCTACTAAATGTTGAGTTCCTCATTCAGGTAACTTGGTTAGAAACAGATCTTTTCACTCTTGGCCTGGGTTTCCTGATGCTTTCAATGGGATTGACATTGACCTTTGAGGATTTCAGAAGATGTTTACGGAATCCATGGACTGTAAGAGGCAAAACATTCACATATAAGTTAGGAGACTACTGATAAAACAAGATGATCCTGTTTTACTCTCTTATCTGTTTAAGTTTCTGGGTTGTTTTTTTGCAGGTAGGTGTAGGATTTCTTGCTCAGTACTTAATCAAGCCCATGTTAGGTTTTGCTATTGCAATGGTAATCTGACACATACTTTATTGTAACAAGTAAACAGCATGAAACTCTTCCTTATGATTAATAGTATGTATATATAAACTTGAGTTTTGTAGTGTGATCATGGCAATGTGTGCTTGAATATAGAGGTTTCTGAAGGTCACTATCAGTTGAAAATGGTTAAATAATGCCTAGGTCTTATCATACTGGATGCATTTGATTTTTTGTTGGATTGTTGAAAAACCTTTGCTCAAATTGAGTTTCTTGTAATCTTTTTGCTTTGATTCTACTGTTTAGATATGATTTTGGCCTT